GGGAGATGGGGGAGAAGGACCCCGCGTGGGTGCCCCCCCCCAACCCCGGACAGAGCGGGACCAGCGGGGTTTGCAGGGCGGGGATTGTCAGGGCGCTGAGAAGTGGTTTTGGGGGAGAAAGGGAAGATGTTACCACTCGCTCTGGTGTGGCAAGCGGTGTAGGGTGCTCTCAGCCCCATCCCTGTCCCGTCCTCATCCCTGTCCCCATCCCCATTCCCACCCTTATTTCCACCCCTGTCCCATCCTCATCCCTGTTGCCATGTCCATTTCTACCCCTATTTACATCCCCATCCCATCCTCCTCCCTGTCCCCATCTCTATTCCCATCCCCATTCCTACCTTTATTTCCATCCCTGTCCTGTCCTCATTCCTGTTCCCGTGTCCATTCCCATCCTTATTTCCATCCCCATCCCATCCTCCTCCCTGTCCCCATCTCTATTCCCATCCCCATTCCTACCTTTATTTCCATCCCTGTCCTGTCCTCATTCCTGTTCCCGTGTCCATTCCCATCCTTATTTCCATCCCCATCCCATCCTCCTCCCTGTCCCCATCTCTATTCCCATCCCCATTCCTACCTTTATTTCCATCCCTGTCCTGTCCTCATTCCTGTTCCCGTGTCCATTCCCATCCTTATTTCCATCCCCATCCCATCCTCATCCCTGTCCCCACCTCATCCCCCTTCCCACCCTATCCCTGTCCCCATCCTTATTTTCATCCCTGTCCCTATCCCCATTCCTATCCTCATTTTCGTCCCTATCCTGTCCTTATCCCTGTCCCCATCCCCATTCCCATCCTTATTTCTATCCCTATCCTGTCCTCATCCCTGTCCCCATCCCCATTCCCACCCTTATTTCCATCCCAGTCCCATCTTCATCCCTGTTGCCATGTCCATTCCCATCCTTATTTCCATCCCCATCCCGTCCTCATCCCTGTCCCTAGCCCCATCCTCACCCCCATTCCCATCTTTATTTCCTTCCCCTTCCCCATCCTGTTCTCATCCCTGTCCCTATCTCCATCCCTGTCCCGATTCCCATCCTTATTTCCATCCCCATCCCGTCCTCCTCCCTGTCCCCATCTCATCCCGCTTCCCACCCTATCCCTGTCCCCATCCTTATTTCCATCCCTGTCCTGCCCTGTCCTCATCCCTGTTGCCATGTCCATTTCCATCCCCGATTTCCATCCCCATCCCATCCTCCTCCCTGTCCCCATCTCTATTCCCATCCCCATTCCCACCCCTATTTCCATCCCTGTCCTGTCCTCATCTCTGTCCCCACCTCTATCCCCACCCTTATTTCCAACCCCGTCCGCATCCTGTCCTCATCCCTGTCCCCATCCTGTCCTCATCCCTGTCCCCATCTCCATCCCCTTCCTGTCCCCATCCCCCTCCCCACCCCGTCCCCGTCCCCCTCCTCTCCCAGCAAGAGCTGCCAGAGGACGCGGGGCCGAGCCCAGCGGGGCTGTGCCTTGGCAGGGCCCCAGGAGCTGCTCATTTCCCTAAAAGCTTCCCGATAAATTACTCCCGCTCTATAAAAGGCACTTTGGCTCCTGCCGTTGCTGTCAGGCCACAGCTCCTCGCTGTCCCCCCCCCGCCCCGGGACCTGCCGGGGACCCCGAGTCCTCAGCATCCCTGGGAGCTGGGTACCGCTGGGTGGGAGCAAGGGAAGGGGCTGGGGTCCCCATCCTGCTCCAGCGCCCCCCTCCCCGCCCCAAAGGGCCTTTCTCCCCGGGCTGCGTCCCCCCCGGGGGTGATCCATCTCCCCGTGACACCTCCTGACACCGCGCTGCGAAATACACCCCATAAACACCCAGAATTTACAGGCTCCTACAAGCACCTGGGAGTCACAGGGCTCCGGGAACACACGACACCCTGTGAACGATGTCGGGCTCGGCCCCGACGGCTGGAAAACGCAGGAAAACCTGATTTTAATTACGCCCCCCCTCCTCGCCAGCCCCTCACAGCCTCCCCGGAGAGGCAGGGAACGCTCCGTTGCTCGGTTTTTGGGCTTTACTGGGAGTTTCTGCATCACGAGCAGCTCGTCTCCGGGGGAGCGAGGAGCGCGGCCGCTTGTGTTTTAAGCTGTAATTTTCATTTAGTGTCGGGTTTTGCCCCTCACCTGGGGAGCTGCCGGGGCCCCCGGGCTGCGTCCCCCCCGGGGGTGATCCATCTCCCCGTGACACCTCCTGACACCGCGCTGCGAAATACACCCCATAAACACCCAGAATTTACAGGCTCCTACAAGCACCTGGGAGTCACAGGGCTCCGGGAACACACGACACCCTGTGAACGATGTCGGGCTCGGCCCCGACGGCTGGAAAACGCAGGAAAACCTGATTTTAATTACGCCCCCCCTCCTCGCCAGCCCCTCACAGCCTCCCCGGAGAGGCAGGGAACGCTCCGTTGCTCGGTTTTTGGGCTTTACTGGGAGTTTCTGCATCACGAGCAGCTCGTCTCCGGGGGAGCGAGGAGCGCGGCCGCTTGTGTTTTAAGCTGTAATTTTCATTTAGTGTCGGGTTTTGCCCCTCACCTGGGGAGCTGCCGGGGCACAGACCTGTTTATCCACCAGATTTAAGCCGGATACAGGGGAGCAGTTTGGGAGCCGTGAAGCTTGTGGGTGTT